CCATCACTTTACCTTTTCTAGAATGGCCCATTGTTGGAATCAAAGTTTGTAGCCTTTTCAGATTGGCTTCTTTCACTATGTACTTATACATTTTAAGTTCTTTCTAAGTCTCCATAAGGCTTGATAGCTTATTTTTTTAAGGACTGAGTAATAGTCCATTATCCAGATGTACCACAGGTGATATGTCTAATTACTGAAGGACACTTTATTTGCTTCCAACTTTTGGCAATTACAAATAAAGCTGGTTTAAACATCCTGATACAGCTTTTGGTTAAAACTGTGTGTTTTTTAACTTTTGGGGCAAATATGAAGAAGTGCAATTGCTGGATCATATGGTAAGAGCATGTTCAGTTTTTAAAAAACTTCCAATATTTTCTGAGGTCGCTCTACCATACTGTATTCTTCACCAGTAATATAAGGGAGTTCTTACTGTACCGCATCATCAACAGCATTTGCTGTTTTCAGTGTCTCAAATTTTAGTTATTCTAATAGGTATGTAACAGTATCTCATTGCTACTTGCTCCTTTTTGCTAAGTCTTTCTTTTGTATCTCTTCATGATTCTCACATAATTTCATATCAATCATTCAATATCTTTTCTACTAAAATTATAAGCAATAATAAATAAACCATAACAAAAGCTCAAGTTTTTTTTTACCTTTACCCTGTTCTTAAGGTTCTGAATATATTTGGTGGTTGTTGCCGTTCTTAGAAACAAAGAAAAATAAAATAGTAGCTTCATAAAGGCTGGTTCTACTACTGAGAGATCATGGAAGATTTTTCTTGTGAACTGTTTTCAATATGTAGCTATATAGGCAAGCTTAATGCTACTCCATCAATTCATTCACCTACCTCTATTATTTTTTAAAGATTTATTTACTTATGCATATAATAACTGGGGTACAGGCCAGAGATGTGGGAGTGAGAGGATTCATCAGAGACAGAGTAGGGAGCAGAACAGGCAGATTGACTGAAATATACTGCTGAGACGAGGAGTGGGTGAGTCAGGCGAGGTCTGTTACGCCATGTGGGTCACGAGTGAGGCATCTTGGACATTCACTGCAATGCACTGCAATCAAACCTTCAGATGACTCCAGTCCCAGTCACTATCTGCCTAAAACCATATGGAGACCCAAATGAGAAATGCCTCGCTGAGCCCAGTCAACCCACAGAACCATGAGAGATACAACAAGAAATTGCTGTTTGAAGCCATTATATTTTAGGAGGACTTACTGTACAGCAATTGGTAATAGTAACACCCTTCTTCCTCAATGGAGAAGCACTAAAACTGTTTCCATGGGTAGGAGGGGACAAGGCTGAAGTAAAGCAGACGGGAACCATGTGTGTTAGCAGTGAGGAGGGTTACCGTTTTAGATTTGCTCTGTTTTGGAATGAGTTTAAATTATGACTGAAAAAAATGATTATAGTTTAGGGAAGAAATCCCAAGTTACCAAAATCATGGTTTAATACACTATTCCAAAATATCTATATAAAATCCTTTAAATCCACAAATCCAAACATGCTCACTCATACCACATTACAACATCTGAAAATAGTACTCCCATTTACTATTCTTTTCTGACAAACAAAGCACTAAGTTTTACTAATAGGAAAAAGCAAAGGCATCAATCTGGAAATTACACAGGTTGTTTCTACTCTATTGGGTGAGAATGAGGCATCCAATAGCAAACACTGCTATTGCTAAGGATACACTCCGATGCAATAAAAAGGATGAAAACAAGCACCAGTAGGGTTATCTCCTGTGAGGCAAGGGCAGGAAAGCAAGGATAGGTACTCAAGATTTAAGTTTGACATCTTAAGCTAATTGGTAGGCACATGGTTGCCATTATCTTTTTGATTTTTAGAATAATACATATTAACTACAATGAACATGACGTTAAAAAAAAGTTACCTCTAATAAAAAGTTACTGGATACACAGGTGAACAAACAGGCATAAAAATATCACACATATGGGAATCACCATAATAATTTAGGGTCACACTTACTTGCAAGGAAGAGCAATTAAAGATTGCTCTTGATTCCATGATTTTCCCAATGGTGATATTCTCACCAATCCCTTTTAGAATCAGTGACTTGAGCATATCAATTATTTTTCCCATTTAAAATAAATATAAACTCCCAAAGCATTAGCTGTATTTACACATGCACACACACAAATGTAGGCATGTATGTATTTGTGTGTGCATCTCAATGACAAAATATTGAGGGCCCATTATCAAAGGACTATTGTTCAAAAGCATATTCACTTGTCAAAACTCCTACAACTACAAGCTTCATTTAGAAAGTAAAAGAGCAACTTTTGGAGAAAATATAAACCACAAAGAACTTTTCAAACTCAGGTTTTGTAAACTGCAGTCTCACAATCTAGCTTGGTTTTAGACTGCACTGAACATAACACTATTATTGTGTGAACCAATAAAAATGCTCAGAAAACTAAACTCAAAATTTTAACAGTTTTCTAAACTAAAATTAATCTCAGTGCCAAAAACAAGTTTGAAAATAAAGCTGAATCATCCTTTTATATACAGCAATGAAACAAAATATTTTTGTAATCTCTTCAGTTACAGATATTATTATATCAACAATAAATTAAGAATGGGGTTAATATTACTTTTTCAGCGCTAATTATTTTTTCTCCAAGTTTATTATCACTTCTGTTGTTTTCATGTAATAATATATAATAAAAACAGACTATTAAGTTGAGCTAGTTGCTATGAAGGTAATGAGACAAAGACTTCACTGCGTATTTTCCCTTTTTGGAGAAAACATAAAAAGTCTTCTTCAAAGAAATGAGCAGCTTTGGTTACAAGTGCAAAAGTCAGCCATGTGTATTAATTCTCAGCAATAATGAATAAGGTGAGCTCCCCAGGGACTTAAAAGTCAATGCCTCGCAATGCTTGGGTGAGCTAAGACATGGAACGCTCACATGACACACAACCATTCAAAACTCTTTGTATTTCCAATCAGATGGACAAGGCTGTGGAACTCACAGTGACTTTCCTAGGTGTGCAAATGGATCCAAAGTCTACAAACAGAAATGCTGCTACTACTTAAAAAATCCACATTTCAAAAAAGCATTCAACCCTCTACTCACAGACGGAAAGGAGCCTGGATTGATTGCTGCCTACAGAATTGCCTACCTGAAAAATAAATTCTTACTTCTTATAGGAATGACTGGAAAAAAAAAGGGGGGGGGGCACAAAACAGGAGACCTGAAACACTGAGGACCACTGTCTACCCACCTTGGAGATGAAGGATGGCAAACCTCATTTCACAGATATTTTAAGTAGGTGTAAAGCCAAGTGGCTCCAATTTTAAGCCTGTGTTTAGATCAGGTTTGAAAAAGGACTACATCTCTTTACAATAACTTCTGATGCCAATCTGTGCTTTGTGTTTGAAATGGGCGACCACATGTGAGAAAACAAGACCACCTACGGCAGACAATACACGCCACAACCCATCTCCTTGGCACCCAGATCCGTGTGCAGGCAAAATGCTTTCATTAAAAAGAAAGTAAATCTCAAGACTATTGCCAAAATCTTGAGTAGTACCACATAATTAATTTCACACTTCAAATTCTTCTTACAGAGATATATAATCATGTCTTTTCAGCAGGTCTAAAACCTAACTTGAAAAAAAAAAAAAACAAAAAACACAAATCCATCTGACCTACTGAAATGCCCAGCTATTTCAGACCCCCTCACCAGTCTGAAAGACTGTCTGGACAGAGCCTATGGTGTGCCTACTTAAAATCTAGCTACTCAAAAAGAAATTATAATTGCTTTAAATAAAGAGTATGTACTAGCAAGAGCAGTTTCTGCTAATATTCTTTTTGACAATTATTGTGTGCCCTTTTTATTTAGGACATTAAAGGCTCCCTTTTTTCGCCCTGAATGCTCCTAAAGTTACAGAACAAGGGGACTCTACCTGGCCTTCTCTGACAGGTCAGTGATCAAACAGAAAGGGAGTCAGGCAAGAGCCCAATTCCTCCCATCTCCTAAGAATTACCAGGAGCTGGATCTTCCTACCGCCGGCTACATTCAAGGAACAGTGATTCAGAGTTAGGCAGGACAATAAACCCTTTCCAAACAAGTGTTTCATATTCTCAAGTGTATCCCCAACTTCTAAGCTCAGTGATTTTCAAGAAAAAAATATCTTATGAGTATCATTTCCAGCACAGAGGAGGCTAATTTTTAAAAGATATGGTCATCTTACTTATAAGAAACCAAGTTTAGATAAAAAATATACCAATACTATATACAAATACCATATTGTCCTAGTGATCAAAGCCCATTTATTTAACTAACCTTATCTTTAAATAGCACCAGTCTTTGTATAAATGTTTAATTTACTTAAAGTATTTACATTCACATGAATAAACCTGTATGAGAAAGAAAACAAGGCATAATGTTTTGCTCAGCTTAAGAACAAGATGCAGGTTGTCCATTCATGTAAAGACATAATCATTCCAAGCACTTTTGACAATGCAAAGCACACTCAGCCAGTTATTCCCCAAAGGCCTTTTTCCAGAAGCACTGGGAAGCTTGAAGAGCTGCCGGCACTTGAAAAATAAAGCAAAGCAGAGAGCTATGGCTGCTGACTTCGAACTACACATTTTAGTGCCTGACCCAGCAGAGGGTGCCATGAGGAAAGAATGTATAAAAATTAACTTTAGAAAAGGTTAGCAAAGATTTTTCAAAGGCCAAACACTTCTGCTGCCAGTGACTTCCATTGCATTACCAACCGCAAGCAATGACGAGTCGAACAGGCATGACTTATCAGGCAATTAGATCAGGAACATTTACCCTTCCACCTCAGGAACGGTTCGCCTGTCTAGGAAAGCCGAGTTGCCCTAGTAGACGCTGCCCTTGTACAGGATCTGTGGTTAAACAGAAGCCTTAGTCCACACTTGTTTATCACGGTTGTGATCTGCATGTGAAACAAGTCTCTTTGATGGGGAGATGTGCAAATGGTACTTACACAGCCTCCAGCCAGAATTTCTGCTGCAAGTGGAAGTGAACCATCTTTGTTCGTACATTTATCCCTCACAAAATCATTCACCTTGAAGAAAAATATTTATAGAAGCTGATGAAAAATATAAAGAAAGCCATTAAACAAATATAAATATATATGAAAATGTTATTTTTGTCAGTCTATTGGAGTAGTCACAAACTGAATAAATTAACAGATTTTAAATGTTGAGAAATGGCTCTTAATGGCATAGGTGCAATTTTTAAAAGGTCGATGCATATATTCCCAATATTTCAGGAGAAAAATGAAAAAATAGAAGGCTTATAAGGCAAAAATTCAAATATGTCCTTCAATTACAATTGCATGAGATATGTAACAAGAGACAAAATAAAACCACATGTTTATAGTTCAAAAACTACTTTATAAGGTTTGATTAAAAGTCACTTCAAGTTTTCTAATAAGATTTAATCTAAAATAGCACTTATCATTGAGATAAATTTAAGGTTTTTCAGCTTAGTAGAAATTTCATATCTAAAAAACTCTCAAGGGTTCTCAAAGAACATCAATAGCATTAATTAATTAAGTATAACATTCTCAAAAATGGTACACACTACAAGCAATTTTAAAAATCAATCATGTTTTTGGAAGACACAAGCCAGAGAGGCTCAGCTGTCCTAAAGTCACATAACATGAAGATAGAAGAATGTCAGGCAGCAAGGCTACACAGCCCAATCTAAGACTTGTGTTTAACTGTCTGGGGCTTCATGACCTTGGTGGCATAAATGCAGTATCTACCCACTCTATACACACTGATTTACCACCTACCATCTCTCAGCTGAGACCAGGCACTGGAGGAACAAACTTCTGGAGGATGAACTTCAACTAGAGTTCACATCACTCAACATGTGGTTTAGCAAATACTTTGAGAATATATTCTAAGCATGAATTCTATAAACAACATGTGTAAGTGAATGAACACACGCTTTAGAGTCAGAAAAATCTGATTTTGAATTCTGTTTTTCCACTCACGAATCGTGTGAACACAGGTAAATACTTAAACCATTTGGACTTTCCATATTTGTAAACTATGGGTCATACTTTGCTGGAGATTCAAAAGTAGAGTTGAATATTCATAAACAGTAGGGAGTGAAGGAAATTTAGGTGCTGCTGCTGCCACTATGAAAATGTTGATGGTGGTAGTGAAGGTAACCATCAAAAATTTTCTTTAAATATATCATCATATTTTTGGATGTTCAGTGTTAAATGGGAAGTAATAAAAAGCTGTGTGCTGAGTTCCCTATATTCAAGTTAGCTGGCACCCCTGAGAAACACAAGTCTGATGTTTCACGTAAGACTATCTGACAGATTCTTAAGTGCAAACCCCTTTAATAAGAAGTATCAACTCAAAAGACTTACTGTAAGTTTTATGGCCTTCTCTGGGGCTACACCCAGTAACTGTGGCAACAGACCTAAAAACAACAAAAAGTAGAAGTATATTAAATAAATTAGCATTAACTAAATAAATCAGCAGCTCTAAAGAGGGGATCACCATCTAAAAACTGGGGCAATCTTTGCTGCAATTTTCTGCTATTACCTTTAATGAGAATACTTGAAATGGAATGTGTAAGTACTAATGTCTAACAGCCACATCAGGACCAAATAAATTCCCTTCCACATTCTGGATCATTTGCACTTTTGGTGAATCAACAGTATTAGTGATATAGGAAATCTCATTATTGCACAACTTTGCTCTATTCCTTCCAGCCTCATAAATAAGTGGATTTTAGTGAACATACATTTTTTTCCTCTAATACTCTTCTCATTCCCTCACCTCTATATCCCCACATTTTATTCATTCATTCATTTAGCAACTCTGACTTTGTGATAAGCACCACACAACCAAGGTACTTGCTCTGAATGGTCCTGGGTATAGGAAGAGGTGAGGCCTTTCTGAAGGGGCAGCTTGGTAAAAATACAGATTAGGAACAAGTCTGGCATGTTAAAAAATGAAGCAGGCACAGAAGACGGAGGAGAAGCTATAGCCACATGATAGGCCAACATGAGCTTGATTTATTCTATGTTAGATGAGAATTAGAGACTTTTAATCAGGAGGAGAGTGATGTGCCAATTCATATTTTTAAAAAACTGCTGTGTAGAAAACAGAACATTCTGATCATAAAAGGGTCACTTTCTAGAAAGACGGTTGTAACAGTAATGGAGCTACAGATCTGAACCAAAAAGTGCTGTTATTTTCATTTGCTGTTTTCAAGAAAATAAAATCAAAGACAAATGACTTTCCTTGGAGATTCACACTAAGTTAATCCCAAGGATCAGGATGTGTCCTTCCCCGTGTCATATCACTCTCCTTGAAAAGGGTCTCATGGTATTATCCATCATCAGTTAGCACAATTTTCTAGTTCATATATTCTAGAAGGTCTACTTGCAGCCTCTTCTGAGTGAACAGTCCTGCACGGTGTCTTCTTCAAGATGCAGCCTACAGCCAAAGTCATTCGGTTGACTAATCAAGGTTGTAAGTCTCCAGACTGTGGGTGTGTTTTACTGAGTAGCAGAGTTTCAAACACAATTTGAGTTTATTGTAAAGACAAACAGATCAACTGAGCAATCTGACAGCCTGGGCTTCTTTCTGACATCACAGCAAATTGCTCCAATAGGGTGCACCTCACTCTTTGGGCAGGATCCATGTGCATCAGTTCACCTCTGTCCCCACCAGCCCTTACTGACATGCAATAAGGACATAGCCCCGGGGCCACTCATTTTTCTTGCTCTGTTGATATCCTCCACAAGAGAGAAATGTTTCTCTGTGCCCAGAATTCTATGAACAGGTAGACACTAAATGATCAAGAAAGTTCCATGTGTTAGGAAAAATGGGATAAATCTCATTTCATTGTGAAACTGCATGATGAATAGGATCTGATACAAATAAAATTTTTCTTACAAACAAAACAAAACAACCGAATCTGGTGACCTAAGGGTTAAGTCTCAGCACTATCATCCCTGTGGCCTGATGTGATTTCTGCCTAGAGAGCTAATCTACATATGGCACAGGAGACCTCTCCAGTCTCAGCCTCTGTTCCCCTCAGCAGTGTATTTCAGTAAATCTCCCTGTTCTGTTCCCCACTCTGTCTCCGGTGAATCCTCTCACCCACTGCACCTCTGGCCTGTACCCCAGTTCTTGTATGCATAAATAATAAATAAATCTTAAAAAAAAAAAAACACTCTCTCCTCCTAAACTATACTGACTTATATTATCTATGCCATAAGATAATACATATAATATTAGAAGAATAGCTTTATTATTACTTTATTAAACTATAATTTCTATAAATAAAATGCTGGGATAAGCCGTTTAAACTACACCTTAACATTTATAATTTTCATTTTACTCTCTGCATTCGGGTCAAGTACCAAAATGTTTAGTTAAATATTTACTTGCTAGATGTTATTTTTCTCATCATTAAATTGTAGACCAAAACCATGGATCGGCTGAAAGCACTGTGATTTAAATGATGATCTCTTGTCTCTATAACTACCCTGTGACACTCTTTTTAAATGACTAATAAAAAACAGCTCACAGAGCCAAATGACTACAGTGTTAGATATGATCACTGCAGTCTGCCTTTTAAGCTATCGAGATTTGTCTTTCTCGTTATAAATTTGGTAATGCACTGTGAACAGAAAAAAAAAGAAAAAAGAAAACCCTGTATTTAAGGCTAACTAGAGGGAAACAAATATTTATTTGTTCAGCAAACATTTACCAAATGCCTTCTGTGTGCTTGGTACTGAAAGCAATTGGAATAAATAAGCAGATCTCTGGAGAAATTCTGTTTAGAGAAAAAGAGGAACTCTAAGTGTCTGTGAGTGCCAGAAAGGGGACAAACCATCTACCAAACAGAGTGGTGAGCAAAGTACTATGGGAACACAGTGAAGAAAACTAGTTATTCTGCCTGCAGGGAGGAGAAAAGCATCAAAAGAGGAGCTACTTGACCTGAGTCTTTAAGGATAAGCAGAAGTTCACTGGAAAAAAAGAAGCATGAGCGGAAGAGAAAGCAAGGTGGTACAGGCAGAGGGAAGAGTATGTGCAAAGGCACCAATACTTCAAGATCATGGCATATTCAGGATTGAGGTAAGATCATAGACCTTGTAACAAATAAAGGTAATGATAATGACAACAACCAATATTTAGGGGCTATTACTACATGCTAGGCACTATTCTATGTGCTTTATATAAATTAACACATTTAATCCATATAAAAGTAAGTCAATAATAACTCAGTGCATGTTATTTTCATCCCCACTAACAGGTGAAGAAACTGAGGCAGACTTTGTGGGTGGGCTTAAGTCCTCTCAGCTATTAAGTGTGTGAGTGAGATTCAATCGAGGCAGTCTGGCTCTGGGTGCTACCTGGTACACTGCACTGCTGCTCTGCAGCCACACTAAGGAGCTTGGTCCAAATTCTGTAGCTGCTCAGGGTTCTAGAGGTGCAGGCCAAAAGGCAAAGGCAGAGATCGGAGACAAAGGACAGTATTTAAAGTAACATAACCAGAAGGCCTGAGTTTCACTGAATATAGTTTAAATGAAAAACTTCAAGTCAGAATAAATCCCAAGTACAAATCTTATGACTGGGCCAGAAAGTACAACTCTTGTGGTGAGTACCTTGGCTAAATAGGGAAACAATGGTGGCTGTGTATGACAATCTGAGAGCCACTACAGACGTTGGCCTTGGCACCAATCGTCCTGGGGAAACATCCTTCAGGAGGGATTATGATCTGTGGGACACTGAAAAGTCACACATCTGGGAATTTCAATAAGCTTCCTAGTACCTTGATCTCAGAGGAAGAAGGGAAGGGGATATGGGGTTTGGTAATGTCGAAAACAGTCAGTCTTGTGAAGGCACTTCAATATGATCGTGCTGAAGTTTAATGTACATATATGTTTGACATCTGGATAACTCAGCAGAAAAATTAGGTTTCTAACATAAGATGTTTCTGTTGGATTCTGGAAATTCATTTTAACTATTAAAAACAGAGAATGGATGTGTGTGTGTTGTTTTTAACTTCTCAAAACAGCAGTCTATTTTCCAACAGCCCCAAATGAAATTTATTAGTGTGGTTAGTTTTCTAATCTTCTCTTTTTAGTTCAGCTCCATCAGCACATATGGCAATGCTTCCTTGGCAAACTTTACCAGAAGGCTGCTAATGCGAGAAAAGATTTAAAAGGTACAACATTAATGTTGTATTTTGTCTTCAAATTTCATGGGATTGAGATATAAATCACACTATCCCCTCTGATTCCAGTCCCCTTTGCAATTCAGTGAGAACTGGGGCTAGAGGTGTGGGAACTGAGCATCAGGAACTTCCAACTTAAACCAACTTCAGCTTTATACCATACCCCTACAGGCAGTTCCCATGGGGAATGCACAGCTACTCTGTACTTATGAACTTTTTGGAAATGAAATTCTGAGCTCTCAGAGTTGGAAGGGACTTTGAAAGAAACTCATGAATAATTAAAGCTATTTATTTCCAAAGGCTTGGCCAAAAAATGAATGGCCTGGAGCATGGGCTTTGGAGGTAGAAAGACTTGGAAGGTTGGTATCCTAGATCTGCATCTCTCCCATGCTGAGCGATCTCAGGGTCATTATTCTTTGAACTCTAGGTCTGACATTGGTACAACGTGGATGCTAATTGTGATCATTGGTTTATTATGGTAATTATGAGTGAATATGTACAAAGATGCCATTCACAACCCTCATTTTGTATTCCAAAACTGTGTTGTTACTTGCTACCTACCTGTTCAAGGGATATTTTCTTTTAAAAGATTTTATTTATTTTTGCATAGAAGAACTGGGGTGCAGGCCAGAGGTGCGAGGAGGTGAGAAGATTCACCAGAGACAAAGTGGGGAGCAGAAGAGGCAGGTACACTAAAATACACTGCTAAGGGGAGCCACAGGCCAGACAAGAGAGGTCTGCTGCGCCATGTGCGTCCGTGGCAAGGGATTGAACTCAGGCCTTCACATTTGCAGCGCTGAGACTTAACCCCTAGGCCAGCAGGGAATCACTTTCCAGGGTACCTTTGATTCCCTTCTTCAATACAAAAGGAAATTCAGCCTATATAGGCTTCCTAGTCCAGCATCAGGTAAGGACTATAATGCTGTCCCCATGGTATCATGCTCAGCTTAGAACTGTCCCTAAGCAGTGAGGATAGATCTGGTCTGATAGTATCTAGTGGCCCTGCTAACTTATTAAGGCAAAGTAAAACAGACATAACAACACATCTTCAACTACATTTTTAAGTGAAAGTAAAATATTTTAGCTAAGAACTTATACATCTTTATCCTCTAATGATATGCAACTTTTTATAATGTGATTTCTCTTGAGTGGCAGAAGGGCCAGGTGATTAAAAGCATGGCGTCTGGAGTCAGGCTGCTGGATGCAAATTCTGAGTCTGCTTT